TGTGGCTTTACTACACTGGTATGTCTTGGAGGTGGAGGGTGTGGCTTTACTACACTGGTATGTCTTGGAGGTGGAGGGTGTGTCTTTACTACACTGGTATTTCTTGGAGGTGGAGGGTGTGGCTTTACTACACTGGTATGTCTTGGAGGTGGAGGGTGTGGCTTTACTACACTGGTATTTCTTGGAGGTGGAGGGTGTGGCTTTACTACACTGGTATGTCTTGGAGGTGGAGGGTGTGGCTTTACTACACTGGTATGTCTTGGAGGTGGAGGGTGTGGCTTTACTACACTGGTATGTCTTGGAGGTGGAGGGTGTGGCTTTACTACACTGGTATGTCTTGGAGGTGGAGGGTGTGGCTTTACTACACTGGTATGTCTTGGGAGGTGGAGGGTGTGGCTTTACTACACTGGTATGTCTTGGAGGTGGAGGGGGTGGCTTTACTACACTGGTATGTCTTGGAGGTGGAGGGTGTGGCTTTACTACACTGGTATGTCTTGGAGGTGGAGGGGGTGGTTGTAGTACACTGGTATGTCTTGGAGGTGGAGGGGGTGGCTTTACTACACTGGTATGTCTTGGAGGTGGAGGGTGTGGCTTTACTACACTGGTATGTCTTGGAGGTGGAGGGGGTGGTTGTAGTACACTGGTATTTCTTGGAGGTGGAGGGAGTGGTTGTAGTACACTTGTATTCCTTGGAGGTGGAGGGGGTGGTTGTAGTACACTGGTATTTCTTGGAGGTGGAGGGTGTGTCTTTACTACACTGGTATTTCTTGGAGGTGGAGGGTGTGGCTTTACTACACTGGTATGTCTTGGAGGTGGAGGGTGTGGCTTTACTACACTGGTATTTCTTGGAGGTGGAGGGTATGGCTTTACTACACTGGTATGTCTTGGAGGTGGAGGGTGTGGCTTTACTACACTGGTATGTCTTGGAGGTGGAGGGTGTGGCTTTACTACACTGGTATGTCTTGGAGGTGGAGGGTGTGGCTTTACTACACTGGTATGTCTTGGAGGTGGAGGGTGTGGCTTTACTACACTGGTATGTCTTGGGAGGTGGAGGGTGTGGCTTTACTACACTGGTATGTCTTGGAGGTGGAGGGGGTGGCTTTACTACACTGGTATGTCTTGGAGGTGGAGGGTGTGGCTTTACTACACTGGTATGTCTTGGAGGTGGAGGGGGTGGTTGTAGTACACTGGTATGTCTTGGAGGTGAAGGGGGTGGCTTTACTACACTGGTATGTCTTGGAGGTGGAGGGTGTGGCTTTACTACACTGGTATGTCTTGGAGGTGGAGGGGGTGGTTGTAGTACACTGGTATTTCTTGGAGGTGGAGGGAGTGGTTGTACTACACTGGTATGTCTTGGAGGTGGAGGGTGTGGTTGTAGTACACTGGTATTTCTTGGAGGTGGAGGGAGTGGTTGTACTACACTGGTATGTCTTGGAGGTGGAGGGGGTGGTTGTAGTACACTGGTATTTCTTGGAGGTGGAGGGAGTGGTTGTACTACACTGGTATTTCTTGGAGGTGGAGGGAGTGGTTGTACTACACTGGTATGTCTTGGAGGTGGAGGGGGTGGTTGTAGTACATTGGTATGTCTTGGAGGTGGAGGGAGTGGTTGTACTACACTGGTATGTCTTGGAGGTGGAGGGTGTGGCTTTACTACACTGGTATGTCTTGGGAGGTGGAGGGTGTGGCTTTACTACACTGGTATGTCTTGGGAGGTGAAGGGTGTGGCTTTACTACACTGGTATGTCTTGGGAGGTGAAGGGTGTGGCTTTACTACACTGGTATGTCTTGGAGGTGGAGGGTGTGGCTTTACTACACTGGTATGTCTTGGAGGTGGAGGGGGTGGTTGTAGTACACTTGTACTCCTTGGAGGTGGAGGGAGTGGTTGTAGTACACTGGTATTTCTTGGAGGTGGAGGGAGTGGTTGTACTACACTGGTATTTCTTGGAGGTGGAGGGGGTGGTTGTAGTACACTGGTATGTCTTGGGAGGTAGAGGGTGTGGCTTTACTACACTGGTATGTCTTGGAGGTGGAGGGGGTGGTTGTAGTACACTTGTATTCCTTGGAGGTGGAGGGAGTGGTTGTAGTACACTGGTATTTCTTGGAGGTGGAGGGGGTGGTTGTAGTACACTGGTATGTCTTGGGAGGTGGAGGGTGTGGCTTTACTACACTGGTATGTCTTGGAGGTGAAGGGTGTGGCTTTACTACACTGGTATGTCTTGGAGGTGGAGGGTGTGGCTTTACTACACTGGTATGTCTTGGGAGGTGGAGGGTGTGGCTTTACTACACTGGTATGTCTTGGGAGGTGGAGGGTGTGGCTTTACTACACTGGTATGTCTTGGGAGGTGGAGGGTGTGGCTTTACTACACTGGTATGTCTTGGGAGGTGGAGGGTGTGGCTTTACTACACTGGTATGTCTTATATACCAACAAAGACTGTTTTATTACTATGGTGTCACTAATCAGTACTACATTTGGCAAAAAGTATGATTTCTTCCATTAAACTACTGTAGAATTGACAAATCATTCAAATATGAATTTCCAAGATGGCCACTCATCAAAGTAAACCCAATTATCCGACTTTCCTGTAATTAAAAACATATAAACAACAAAATCTTTTCTTCATTTGCCTTTTACTATTACTGGAAATTATACTGTAATTTTTCTGTTCTGATGACAACTGCAGTTACAGTATACAATAAATATACTGACAGGAAACAATGGCAAAACAATTGGGATCATTATCAATTTTAAAACAACTAGAGGACAAAAAATGTTTCATCAATTAAATAACAAAAATAATAAACACTTCACATAACTGGTTGTTTTTAATACAGTAAATACAGACCAATGATAATACATTTTAAATTTTAGCGATCACACATCCCTCAGGTACATCCTTTCTATCATATCAGATCTAGATTTAAATGCCACACAGGTCATCCGTGATGTATAGATACATGATGATACCAGTCCGGTTGACTGAAGAGATGGTCTGGCCATCCTACTGTGTATTTGTATCCTAGTGTCCACCAATACCCGACTCTAACCAGTATTTCAGACCGGTATTGTACATTCCAACCCTATATATATATATACGTGTCACCTGTCACCGTCCCTAACTGCTACTGTAAGCTGTTGTCATTTGATCCTCATTCATGACTCAACGAAATCTTGAAAATAGTTTATAATTCAATCTAGGGACATCCATGCTGTAGACAAGTACAGTAGGCAGAAAGAAGTTTATGAGGCATTAACAACCAGAAGTAATCTTACTTGAACATTTTACTCTTAATACACTAAGCCACCCATGTGAAACACCTGACTGCTCTGCGCATCTTACACATGCATAACCCTGTTTACAAGTAGTTACAGCACCAATGGTAATTATTTATCTATGAATGACATTTGTAAATGTTGTTTTAATGTTCATTGGAGAACAGGCAATTTGTCAATTATTATTTATTTATAATGATGTGACTCACACAATTTTTCACATCACTGATTTCTGTAACTGTTCTTACATAAATGCATGAAGATCTTGTAGATGATGAACTTCAACATACACATCCTGATCACATATTGGTTCTTGTAGAATTTTGTTATTGAGGATGTTTTCCCGCTGGCTGTTTTATGTATGTATATGTATGTATTATGGTACAAAACACACAAAAGTGAATGGTACCTTTAAAATAATTCAGAATTTGATACAGTAGAGCCAAATAATGAAGGAAACTTCACCATACAGCTGTTTCATCCTTCAAGGACTCGTCAGTGATGCTAAAGGCCTAAATTCTGACTGGTTGCATATGAGGAAAATTGAAAGTGATGGTGGGGGAAAAATGTCAAAATCTAGTTGGAGAAGTTAACTAGCCCCATAAATCAATAAATTCAGTACTAATCACATATCTAGGGATTTTAAAATAAAACATAAAGTACATGTGTATATTCTGAACCATGCTATGATTTGAATGAATCAAAATATGGCATGCAGGTAAATATGTATATTTGTATGACAAAACGATAATTCAAAGGTAAAATTGACAAAATCTTTTCCCACTAATCAGTTCACTATATGTTGTCCATGGTTTGGGGACCACAGTATCTTTAACTTATTTTCATAACTCAGAATAAGACTCTAACCAAACACTGCATTCTAATGGAGCACCATGTCAGCATATACTTCATCTTTGAAGGTCCCTAGTCAAATAAATTCAATATTTGCTATTTTATGTATTTTGAATTATCAAAATGATTTTTAAAATACATCAATATATTAAAGGATTATTTGAGCATAAATTCATTTGCAAACTTTATTAAATGTTTCAGTGACAACCTTGATCAATTGTCTTCCATTGTCTGTTATATGGACAAACTGTGGTCAACATAAGGGTTATCACATCGTAAGAGAAAGTGCAGCTTACATTTCAGAGCAGCTAATATATGGATAAATATGAAAAAAAATTGATGAAAATTGGCTTTATGGCTTATATACCAGTGCGACTTAAAACCCGAAAATATGGTTCATCGAAAAATGTTAGAACTCGCTATCATCTTGTCAACCAATAAAAAAATGTAGGGACATTGTTTCTCTATGTTGCTGTGTATGTTTTATGTTAAGAATATATATCATTATTATTGTATCTAAATGTTAAAATAAAACAAATGATGAATTTTAATTTCTAATTTTTCCTTTTAGAATTTTGCATATTCAGTGAAAATTCAGTAAAAATATTGTAACAAGACTTAAGTGCAGCCATTTGAAAATTATTCTAAAGTCATATGAATATTGATTAGATCCTTAAAGCTTTGATTACACCTAGAAATATTGTACAAGGTCATTTACCAGAACAATGTATAAACGAAATAACTCAATGGTCCAAAATTTCATCCCAGAATGACAACCTCATTTCTATTACATACAATATTGATGATGAAATAAAGTCAACCATTTAAACATTCATATAATAATAATCACCAACGAATATATAGTAATATACTTACCTTTTCTGTTCTGACATGTGAATATTTCTGTAAAGCACTGATAAAAAGTCGGTCTCCCACAGTGGTCTTGTTGCGTCCCCCACTACCTCCTCCTCCTCCTCCAACATTTTCACCCGCTTGGGAGGAAAACACTTGCTTTCGATGGATATTGTTATACATTTGTGTACAAATGACAAAGTACTTGAGAAAACACAAGTCTCATTAAACGCTCTATAGATATTTTAAGACATCACTAATGACTAAGATATCAAATCCTGTATTTGGAAATCTCAATAGTGACAAAATGTAAGAACTTCATTCAAGTATTATCCATTTCCATTCTGTTGATCAAGTTGATTTAACTGAAGAAATCTGGAATCAAAACAAAAACAAAATAATGAAAAAAAAAAGAAACTTAAAAATTAATAAATATGTATTTATAAGCTTTGGCTATTTATGGCAAATGTTCAGCTTTTCTTATAACTATAAAAGGATGCATGCTTGTCATACATTCAAATTATTGGTTGGATCAAGAAGCACTGCATTAAATACAACATTATTGATCTGAGATTGAAAAATACCTTTTTAATTATCACTTTTTATAACAATCCGTAAAGATACAAACACTGTCAGACAGGCCAAATGTAATGTTTTTATTTAACTCATTTTCGTTTCACTTCCTCAGTCATTTCCCTACATACTGAGTCTTGAAACATCTAAAATTTCTATGTAATTACTTTAATCAGGGACGTATAATATGTCCCTACTTTAATCTACAGCATACCATCAAAACCGAAAGTCCCGACATCATAACTACGAATTATCTCTTGATAAGATTTGCATGATCTCAGAAGGGCACATGCAGTAAAAAAGTTTCTCTGTCATGTCCCATTTAATTTGTCAGAAGAAAAGTGGAACTTGAAATTGAAAGTTGATTAGCTTTAGTCTGTCGTTAAAACTCAGAAGTGGGCTTTCTGATATGCTCAATTTTAAATGATCTTAAAGAACTGTTTTGATAATGAATAAATGAAACTTTCAACAGTGAAATTTTCATCGATGTAACTTACTGCCATGATATATATGATGTGAGCAATTGTAATCTGAACAATTTTCAATGTTCAATGAACCTGTTGGCAAATATGAATACATCACTACAATTTGAATAAATTTACCATGTAATTAAGCAAGCATGCTTCCATTCAGCATGTCTAAAGACTAAAAGTTTGGCATTGTTTTCTTTGAGTCAGTTCCATAAACTGTTGATGAATATAGCTACAATGATGAACTGTTACCTTTGAAATACAATGTTTTACATGAGCTGCAAAATATATATATATATCTCCCAGTGCTTATTTTATTGGCTAAGTTCAAACTTCATAAGGAAAGGGTATGTCAGTTTTACAACAAAACCTGATTACAATAATTCAATGAAATTACAGAAATAATTTCAGATATTAAACATTCTATGCTACATCTGTTATGTTCCTTTGGTCAAATCTTGCAACCAAATTAACAATGACTTTGTCAGTTATGATGCTTTATGTGCAGTGGCCCTCTTAAGAAATCCTCTTAATCTTGTGTCCAGTTTTATATTTCTAATTAATCCAAATCTGTAAATGTTCATGTCAAATTCCATGTTCACATTAGCTGGAAAACACAATTGTACTATGAATGATGTTCAACCAAATGTATCCAATACACAACCACATGTGTATGGCAGGATGTGTGACCTGATTTTACGTTACCAATAAGTTTCAGTGAATTATAATTTGAAATTTTTTGATCAAAATCCATTTCTCCTTACCAAAATACATACACTGATTTTACCATAAAGTTTGTGCCAACAATCTGCATCACAGTTTTATCGTGCCTTTATTCATTCATACTTTTTATGTGCTTAAAATCAGTTTAAATTATAAGTTACAGAACAGCTATTAGTCGGACCATTACTATCAATGTTCCTAACACAAATGCAGATATACCTCTTGACGTATCTCATATATAAGTACTTCGCCCAAACATTTTCATTTCACAAATTTCAGGTGTATTAAGATGCTGTGTATTTAGATGCTGGACTGACTTTACCGTGTAGATCTATATCATGTGCTTCTATTACCAAATTGAATGTAATATATTTCGATTGTCGTTCAATTATCAAGTGCGTATGTGAGTAATGCCGGTCACAACAGATGCACGAATAATCCGCCTATGTGAGTTATTTAGTGTCTAATCCATCATCTTGTGTCAAAAATTCTCACTTTTCACAGGACATAAATATGATTCCATACGGCATGAGTCATGTTTTCACATCTCCTAGAGAGAGCTTTCAGGTCATATGCATCGAAAATAAGTAGCAGGACCCAAATAAATTAAAGTTTGTCCAACTCTCCTCGCTAGAAAGACATAATAATGAAAACAATCATGTGAACTTACCTAAGTTCACCCGAACTCCGCCATGTTGGCTTTCATGTTTACACTGAAAACGAGGCTGTGTGACGTCACTTTTGACCCGATTTCCGGGCACCTTCTTCGGTGCATACCCGGTTTCACACTTGAAAAGTCACTTTCATGATATGTAGAGGACGGTCTTCACAAAGAAATTGTGACCTTCTAAATTGGAATTTACATAAGAAAGCTTTCCGAAACCCTACATATCGTCTGTTTTATTTTTGTTATTTCAGTCCTAACGTTAGCAGCCTTTGATATAGCTTACTGTTTAGACTGTAAATAATTTTATTGCAGTTAAATATGCATCTTGGCCCAATCTCGACATTCTTTAGTAAATATACGATTACTCACATTTGTTCAACTCAGGTCCACAACTCGATTTGTTTTTAATTTTAAAAAATACAGGTAATATTTTCTTCTTCTTCTTCAATACATCTTATAGTAGGTGTAATCAAATTGTTGCTTCAAAGATACGAACTTTAGTAATAAACTTCAGTCACACATCCTTTTGTCGAATGAACCTTTTTGAGTTATGTTTTTTTATGTTCACTGGGACCGCTGCAGATTTCGCACTTCCAAGAACTTTGTTGTGTCTTGTCGTTGATGTTCTCAGTCGATGATTCTATTTCTCTCCAGGCTATACTTCTGAAGAAAGTAACATGCTTGTTCACCAGTTATCGCTTATATGAGAGTAATGCAAACACTTTCTTTAACTTATTTCAACAAGTTTTCGTTCCAAAGATATGATTCAAAAGTTCCAAAGTTAAAGTTGGTTAAAATCTGCTCACGTTGTGTGTGTACATATTGTTTGAAATTTGAAATTTTCTGTTATGCACAAAAAAAAGTCATCCGGAACTCCCTGCCTTTAATAAAACAGGATCCGCTGTAAGGACTTTTTCCTGTGTCGGTCAAGCAGGATCCGTGTTTAAATATTAAAAATGATAAATTTCATCTCAATTATAGTGACTAGCAATAGAACAACAAAACTTAAGTGATGAAAACCCTGCAACAAGCTGACATTGTTGGAAACTTCATGCATCATGTATAATTCACTGGTTGTATACATGTAATATCTTTACGTATCATCAACAGATGTGTCATGTAACCTAGACATATGACTTGCTAATTGACAAGGCAGCGTCCTATTTACTATTGATATATGACGCGTTAATTGACAAGGCAGTGCCCTATTTACTATAGATATATGACGTGTTAATTGACAAGGCTGCGTCCTATTTACTATAGATATATGACGTGTTAATTGACAAGGCTGCGTCCTATTTACTACCGACATATGACGTGTTAATTGACAAGGCTGCGTCTTATTTACTATAGATATATGACGTGTTAATTGACAAGGCAGCGTCCTATTTATTATATACATATGACGTGTTAATTGACAATATGACGAGTTAATTGACAAGGCAGCGTCCTATTTACTACCGACATATGACGTGTTAATTGACAAGGCAGTGTCCTATTTACTATAGATATATGACGTGTTATTGCAGCGTCCTATTTACTACTACAGATATATATGACGTGTTAATTCACAAGGCAGTGTCCTATTTACCATAGATACCGACATATGACGTGTTAATTGACAAGGCAGCGTCCTATTTACTACCGACATATGACGTGTTAATTGACAAGGCAGCGTCCTATTTACTACAGATATATATGACGCGTTAATTCACAAGGCAGTGTCCTATTTACCATAGACATATGACGTGTTAATTGACAAGGCTGCATCCTAATTACTATAGATATATGACGTGTTAATTGACAAGGCAGTGTCCTATTTACTACCGACATATGACGTGTTAATTGACAAGGCAGTGTCCTATTTACTACCGACATATGACGTGTTAATTGACAAGGCAGTGTCCTATTTACTATAGATATATGACGTGTTAATTGACAAGGCAGCGTCCTATTTACTACCGACATATGACGTGTTAATTGCCAAGGCAGCGTCCTATTTACTATAGATATATGACGTGTTAATTGACAAGGCAGTGTCCTATTTACCATAGATATATGACGTGTTAATTGACAAGGCTGCATCCTATTTACTATAGATATACGACGTGTTAATTGACAAGGCAGTGTCCTATTTACTACCGACATATGACGTGTTAATTGACAAGACAGCGTCCTATTTACTACAGATATATATGACGCGTTAATTCACAAGGCAGTGTCCTATTTACCATAGATATATGACGTGTTAATTGACAAGGCAGCGTCCTATTTACTACCGACATATGACTTGTTAATTGACAAGGCAGCGTCCTATTTACTACAGGCGAATGACGTATCAAAAGATCAGGCAACTTCCTAAATGCTGACGAATGACGTAACAATTGACAAGGTGGCATTCCATCTGCATCAGGCGTATGACGTATTATATGACAAGCCAGTGTCTAATTTACTACAGATTATAAATTATAAACTGACCGACCAACCCACCGACTGTCTTCTAGAAATGTTACTGTTACAATTATTTTAGTTGTTATGTAACTAACAAAGACGTAAGAAATCCTATGTGTTTGTCAATTTGGTCTGTAGAACTCTAATTACAGATACTGGCCTCAATTGGCAGCTGTGGCTATTAATAATTAGAGTCTCGCATCCTCACTTGGGGATCGTCAAGTTCGAGTGCACACTTACTGTGTCTTATAAAGCACACACTGGAAAGAGACATCAAGATTTAGGCCTAGCCCATCAGTACATATTACATAAACATCACACGATACAACATCGAGAATGAAGAATATTGTTGCACGTTCGATATAAAATTAGGGATTTCGCAATTTACTAGCTTCATAAATAAATTTACCTAGCAAACAAAGTGCTTTAATATTGTGGATGC